TCCAGGCTCTCTGCCAGGCGCTGGGGCGACAGAGCTGCAGCATGGCCCTCTGCCTCCGTAACTGAGTGACAGGTCTAATAGAAGCGGGTACACGTAAATCTTTTCTGGGGGCAAGCATATGGAAGACATCCTGATGAGGTCAAATGGGGACTCGCTGTGCATGGTGAGGGAAGTGGGAGAGGACATGAAGCAGAAAGTCCAAGCGTCTCATGAGAACGAGGATAGCTGGTCACTGGCTCTTGGCGGGGCCTGATCGAAGGCGAGAGCAGGCGGTGGATGAACTTCTTTCTTCAATTCGTGACTCCCTACACCTTTTCTATCATGTTGTCTGCCACCTAGTACGTTATTTCCCCTCCTCCTCTTTCCCCATCCAAGAATGTTGCTTTCTGCCTCTCTATCGACTGTTGGCCTTTGGAAAACGTAGTGTTGTGATATTGGTCCTCCAGTGTTTAACCTGGGTCTGCTGTGCTCCAACTCCCCCCACGTTCACGTTGCTTGGACATCCTTGTTCTTTATCATCATCGCATAGCACGGTGCCGGACGCAGGTGCCCCATTCTGCTTATCCATGTCTCTGTTGATTCCTTAAGAACCTCAGTTCCATCTGCACCCCCAGTCTTCCCCACCGAGTAGTCTAACATATCCACAGGCTCCAGGGACTAGGCGGTGGATTTCCTCGGGGCCACGTATCTGCCGGCCACCCCCCACCCCCCCTTGGGTGAGGTTCCCAGATGATGAAATGAAAGCTTTCGTCTTGTGTTTTTGCCTCTAGAGATTCTCGCTGTTGTGCCAGTTGCCAGCGACGCTTCATGATGGGAGACATTCTGGCTCATGAATCGGAGTTACTTGGACTAGTAAGAGAGGTAGGTCTCTCCCAACCAGCACCGGCCACCGGGAAAGGGATCGGAAGAACTTGTGTGCGGTCTAGCAGGCAGGGATCTAGCAACTAGAAGGAGTCAACGAGCCCCTTTGGGCAGTGGGGAGTTGATGCTAACAGAAGAAGAACCACTCAGAGCAGGAAGGAGAGTGTGGCTTGGCTTGAAGAATGCCACCAGGTGTGCATATTACGGAGATGAACTGGTGTGTTCTGCTGCGTATGTTGTTGTGGAGGGGGTCCTAACCCACAGCGACCCAGACCTGGTCCTGAGCGCCGTCCTCACAATAGTTCCCCTGCCGAGCCCCCACCACGGCAGCCACTGTGTCCATCCATCTCGTGGGGGGCCTTTCTCTTTTTCGCTGCCCCTCTCCTTTACCACGCATGATTGATGCCCTTCTCCAGAGACCGGTCTCTCCCGAAACGTCCAAAGTACGTAAGACGACGTCTCACAACAAAAATAAACCGTTAAAAAAATCCAAACAACTAGAAAAGGCATATAGACTCCTGATTTAAAAAAAAAAAATGTAGCCAATTCAGAGGTGTTCAAAATTAACTGCTGCTTGACGCAGCAGTGCCCTCTGTTGTTGAGCTAGTGGCTGTCTTTCCAGACTCAGAGGTCCCTGTGAATATTGGAGCCGGGTGCAAGCCCCTCCTTGTTTCTCAGTACAGTGCGCTGCCCGACCCCGACCTGGTGGTCTCTGTGGGCAGTAATGCTGCCCATGGCTTGGCTCCACTGGGAGCCCTTCACCGAGTGGCCTGTTGGAGAATATCGGCCCCCCACCCCAGCCATCTTGCTTGTCTCTGTGCTCACGGCACGCATTGGGGGCGCGAGAGGCAGCTGCTGCCCTGACTGCTGGCTTACTTGTGCCCTGGGCATCTCGAGCCCTGGCAGCGGTTTGAGTGAGGAAAGGGGCTGGTGTGGTAGAGAAGAAACGTTTAACTTTTTCCCTCTCGTAATGACTGATGAAAGTGTATCCAGGAACAGGCACACCTGTCCATCCGTCTGCACACGCACCTTTCTCCGTGAACGTGGACAGTCGATTCCACGTGTGGAGCTGTGTGGCCGTTCTCACCTCCCTGACCGAAGTGCTCCTCAGCCTTCACGGCTCCCTGCCTCCAAGGGGCCTAGCTGGCCTTTCAGGGTGCTCCCGTCACTTTGAGGGGAAGAGGGCCAGTCTGGGAAGCTCACAGGAGCAGTTCTGCCCTGCCCTGTCGGGTCACCACGAGTCGGTGTGTTAATCTGGATTGCCAAGAGAAACAAATTCATAGACACTCCTATGTGATAAGAAAGAGCTTTACATACAAGAGCAATTGAATATTGAGAAAACATTCCTGTCCAGAGCGAGTCTATCAGTCCAATATTAGCCC